AATACATTCGCCATACAAACAACTCTTACAATAATTACATACTCAGTTATCTTTTTTTCACATTCATTTGCTCAATTTGTTGCTATTCAAAATTCTTGTTGCACCATTTATAAGAAATTTAAGTAATGTAAAATTTCTTTCTTTTTTGTGTTATTTTCAAAACCCTAACTAGGTGAAATGGACGATTATTTTTATATTACATATTTAGTAGCATCAAGTTGTTTTGTTTTTTAGTGAATTTTAATTTTTATATTTAACTGTTTGTATAAATTTTACTGTTTGTAAAAATGTATATTTTATATAGTATATAGCTAAAAAAAGCTGCTGATCAACGTTAAGGCAATCCAAGTGTATGGCGAACTTTCAAATATCAAGTTTTTAAGAGCCCTCGTTTCATTTGCTTTTAATTTTTTATTTTTTAAAATTTTATTTTTTATTTTGTTGTTTTTAATTTTATTTTTTTATTCATTTCATTTTCTTATTTTTTAATATGTTTCTCACCATTTATTTGATTTGTTTATTGAAATTCATAAATTTTGTTAGATATTTAACTACATTTGCTAACTTAAGTTAGAATGGTGTCGCATTAAAATTAATTAAGTTCAACTTTAGTTGCATTTACATGAATATATATGTATATATATTTATATACTAAATGTCGGTATGTATGTTTGTATTTGTTTTAGTTTACAGTATAATTATACACATATATTATACATATATAAAATATTAACTAGTGTGTGTGTTTATGTGTTAGCAATTATTTAAGTAGTACCACGTATATAAGAGTTATATAATGCATATATGTATAAATACTAAATATATTTATGTTTATAAGCATGTAAGTAAATCTTGTTTTAAGCAAAATACTGTTGTTGTGCGAACATTTTGTTGTCATTATAGTTATTTATTAACATTTAAGTAATACATTTTATTATATACAAATTACCATAAATGTACTTAACTGTAAATATATTTATATATTATTTAAAAACAAATATTTCGAAAGTAGTTTTAGCTCATACATTAATTTTATTTATGCATCCGTAAGCATTAAGTATACATTTTTATATAAATATTAATTGTATTAAAGTAGTAGGTGTAGGAAGTTAATTGATTATGTAGGTAAGCACTAAGTTATTTATTATTAAAAAAAAATATTGAAAAAAAATATTGCTAAAATTTTCAAATATATTTTTGCGGTTTAAAACACTTTACACACATATTCTTAATTTATTTTTTGCGCTGTTTAAATTTAATTGCACTACAGGGTGAGTCGTATTATGCAACTAAATGAGCGGAGATTATAGAAATTTTATATAGATTTTTGTAGTAGCTTTCTTGCTTTTAGCAGAAATTAAAAATTCAAAAATTATATGCATTACGAATAATTTCGATATCGATTTTGTATTTATCGATTTTTTTGCTTATCGATATTTTTATTTATCGTTTTCTTTTAAAAATATTCAAATTTTTTAGTAAACTTTAAAACTTAAAATAATTGAATTTATAAATCAATAAACTATCTATTATTTTGAAATATTATCTCTTATCTAAAAAATTTACGCACATATTTTTGTTTTCATTCATGTACTTAAGGCTTTCTGGGACAACAAATAAAAAAGCTGATTTTAGGTTGGAAAAATATCGATAACTTTAAAAATAAATAAACAATTGATTCGATGGTTTATGAATAAACAGAGTCATCATTCAAACTTCTTTAAAAAGACGAATTTTTAAAACGATAAAATATCGATTATTTTTAAATACTATATCGATTTTTTTTAAATGGTATTATTACATACAGAATTTTTTTTTCAATTCATAAATCTTAAGCTTTATGAGATAACAAAAAGAATATAAATTTATGGTTGGAAAAATATCGCTTCAAATATAGATTATTTTTAAATATCTAGAAATTTAGAAATATAATATATTGACTCGATTATTTTATTTAATTTTTTTTAAACCAACAGTTTGCAATATAATTAAAATATTTCTTATTTAAACATCACATTTAATTAGATAAGTAAAGACGGAAATTTTAAATTTTTTGAAAAGTACTCGTGCCTTTGAAAACCGAAAGGCTATTTTGCATATCGATTTAGATATATTTTGCATCAAAAAATTTTCAAGCGCTACTCTTTCATCGGAACTGAATATTTTTGCTTTATATTTCTGTTTTATAAAAGATATATGAAAATTAAAATTGCTTTGTGTTTATTTGCTTATTTCTCACCCTGTATCAGCATATAATATACCTAATAATGCCTATACATATACACATATGTGTGTAATATTAGCTCTAAGTAAACATTCGGTTAGGTTAGTAATCATTAAGTAATTCTAAATTTGTCAATAAGTTATGCTTAAAGTTAATTAAAATTTTCAGAAAAGTAATAAGAAATTGTAATCAATTTTAAAAGTAATGTATTACATGCACACATGAGATTATTTTCGAGATTACTTTGTTGTTTGAGGCCTAAGCTCACGCCTATTACTTGTCGTTGTTGTACTTGTATATATGCTTTAGAGTGGATAAATATTGTCAAAAATCGGGTGTCTTGAATAAAAGTGTGTTTACGGTAAGCGAGGAAAGACGGTAACAGAGAGCCTTCACATAAAGTGTACGAAGAGTGTGTGAAAGACGAGAAATGTATGGGTAATACAATATTTTAGAGAACTAAAAGAAAATATTCATCGAATTTTGTTTTTACTTTCACGTTTTTTGTGCAAAATTATTGAAATTCTCACCCAGTTTATATTGATGACTATGAGTCGAAGTGAGCGTATGTCTGCAATATTCAGTAAATACTCAAATTTTTTTAATCTAAAACTGTCTAGCACTATAATCACTAGACTGCAGATTAATAAAAATATTTGTAGGTATGTATAAAAGAGAAATAGTGGAAAATGTATGCTCTTCTCTCAATAGTGTATATTACGATATATTGTTTATGTATATGGTATATAGTATTTATGTTTAACTACAAAAAACACATAAATAAATATGCATTAATTTTGTGCGCGCAATGAAAAGTCTAACATAGACCAATTTAATGAAGAGGACTTTTAAATATTCTTAAACGAAGCAAACTGCGTGAGCACAACTACACGTACAGTTAAGCGCACTTTAGTGCTTTTAAACTAAGCTTAAGCTTAAATGCCTTAAATTAGTGTGAAGTTCGTTTAATAAAATTTTTTTTCATTTATTCTTCTTTTGCCATTTTTTATTCCTTTGAATGTACGTATGTATGTGGCTACTCAGCAGCGACGCTAATGTAAGAGAGTACAGTACAGTACTGCATAAAAGTGTGTGAATAAAATATTATGCTAGCAGAAGGACTAACTTTTCGTCCCTATGCTAAAAAAAGTGTTATTGTTATTTTTCTGAATACTGCGTCATAGACTCGCGTGCAAAATTTGATTGGTACAGTTTGTAGCAAAAAAAGTGTAATTAAATGCTACAAATACCAAAAAGTTTACTTAATTAATTTCTGCATGCAAAAGCAGAAAATAAAAAGTAAAAATAAAAACTAAATATAATATTCAAAAATAAGAAAATGTGATGAAAATTGTGATAATGGGTGGTTTTCAACAGCAATAATAAAATATCTTAATTAAAAAAAATTAAAACTATATATGTATGTACATATGTACGAGTTAGCTGTGGAAAGCTTCATAACCATTATTTTATAGATTCAATTTCAATTCCACAGTCTCTCTTCACTCACTCAGTGTTCAAGCTCTTAGTCAGTTTGAGCAAAATGATAATTAATTTAAAAAACTCGGTTAAGGCAAGGATAAGTAAGGAAAATTTCAAGCTTCTGAGGGGAATACGTAGTGAAGGTAAACTTTTAAATGTCTGTGTCAGCCAGCTGATACACATAAACAAATAAAATTTAATATAACTTTAGTATACAAAAGATTTAAAAATATATGAATTGGGGAATTTTTATTATTACAAAAATAAGTAAAAAAAAAAAATAAAAAAAATAAAAAATAAAAGAAACCGAAAACGAAAACGGAATTAAGAAAGAAGAACGTTAGCAATTAAAAAAATATCGAAAAATTAATAATATAAATAATAAAGTTACAAAAACAAAATTTTATAACAAGAAAAGAAAAAGTAATGTAAAAAAAAAATAAATAAATAAAAATACTTGAAATGACACATTAAAGGAAATATCGAAGGAAAAAATAAACAACTTTGTATTTTGAAAAAAATAAAATTATAATTTTATATGCAGATATAAAAAAGTAAAAGTTAACTAAAAATACTTTTCAAAATATTTTGAATAAAAAAATTTATATATTTTATAAGCACATATGAAAAGGTGATAAACAAATACAAGTTAACTAAAAATGCTTTTCAGAAAATTACGAAGCAAAAAAACATCATTTTAAAAACAAAAAATATGTTATAAGCAGATATGAAAAGATAATGAGATTAAAAATGAAAGATAACTTTTCATAAAAATACTTCAGATCATGATGAAGCATTAAAGATAATACCGATTCACAAAAAAAAAAAAACAACGGCAACTAAGTTTTTTGCATCGAAAAAAAATTTTTTGGGCAACTTCAATAATTTAAAATTAAATTATTTTCGCTTTAAAAATTTACAAATAATCGTGGTTCGTGAAAGAAAAAAAATTAGAAATACAACAAAACACCAAAAAATAATAATAATAAAATAGCAATAACTGGAAAAATATATTTAAAAGTTTTGATAAATACTAAATATATTTAAAAAAAATATTTTCGTTTGAAAAATTTCCAGTATAATTTTCTTATTTGAATTAGATAATAAAATAACAAATAAGTGAGTGTAAATACTTTTAATAGGTTATATTTAAAATTATTAAGCCATAAAAATTTAGACTTAAAAAAAAAACTGTGACATTTAAAGAATTATTTGGAATTATTTTATGAAAAAAAAATAAAAAATAAAAATAGAAGCGATTTTCTAACACTTAAATTGAGAAAAACACAAAATAATTATTAATCGAAAGTGCAAAAAAATTCTAGTCTGGACATAAATATTTTTTTTTTTATAGTTTTAAAATTTAACTATTCAAGAATAAGTCTACAAGATCATTTTTCGAAACTCTTTACATTTACGGAGAAATATGTGCTTAGGTATTTTGCGATCTGGTATCCAAACTGGTGACGTTTTTCTCGAAACTGTCTTTTTCAAAACGATACCCATGATTTCTCAGGATCTACTGAACCAATTTACTTGACATTTTTAAGATTTTTCACTTATCCACAAATTTTAATTTTTACTATTTTAAAAAAATTCAAAATAGTCAAAACAGTGGTACAAAAATTGTTTTCTGTTTGCACACAGTCGCTATTTTGTGAAAAAAAAAAATTATCCCACTTTTCCGTAGAACCAGACATTGCGACATTATTCTCACATCATTTTTTTTGTTTGTTTCAGTTAGCTAGTAGGGTTGAAATCGTGGGTATGGTCACGTGCCAATTTTTTGAGACTCCCCACTTCATCAGCAGCTAACCTTTGAAATTTTTAACTTTTTTTCCTGTACTTTTGTAATGTTAAAAAATAAATAATAGAAAAATGGATAGTAAAAATATTAATTTCCTTTTTTTTCGACCCTCAAAAATTATTTTAAATTCATGCCTCAAGACGAGATTATGGTAGATTAAAAATTAAACAAAAAAAACAAAATTAATTAAAATAAAAAATATAAAAATTGATACAAATTAATTAAAATAATTGACAAGTATTGGATCGTTCAATAAAAAATGTCGTTTGATGACAACAGCTGATTTTATTGAATTATTGAAGATGAAAGATCGAAAACCGCATTTTCGTCATATTTTACTATTTTACAATCAAAAAAATAAAATTCGGTGAAAAATAAAAACATGGTGAAAATTATGTGATGTGTACGAAGATGTGTTGGCCGAACGCCAATGCCAAAATTGGTTTTCCAAATTTCGTTCCAGCAATTTCGATCTTAAGGATGCACAACGTCCTGGAAGAACTCTGGAAACCGATGTGGATAAAGTAAAGTCGTTTGTCAATGCAAATCGTCGGAAGATTAAATTTGTCTAACGCGACCGTTCACGAGCACATGTTTATGATTAATTTGGAAGCTTGACATATGGGTTCCTAATGTTCTTACAGAACGAAATTTGCTTCGTCGCACTAACCACTATGATTTGCTTATCAAAAGTCAAAGAAGTGATCCATTTTTGAAGCGCATTGTAACTGGCGACGGAAAGTGGGTTTTTTACAAGAATGTAGAGCACAAGCGATCATCGTCTAAAAAGGATGAACCAGTTTAAACCACTTCGAAGTTTGATGATTCGCCAAAAACTTTTTGCCTGCCAGGATCAAAATGGGGAATATAGAATTTCATAAAATGTTTTACATAATATAAAAATCGTATTTAAATTGCACTGAAAAGAGGCATTACTTAGTGAACGAGCCAATATAAAGAATAAAAATTAAAATCCAAAAACAAATTGTGTTAAAAACTAAAAACTAATTAAAGGTATATAAAAACTAATAATATTTAAAAAATATATATATATTATTATCAAGTATTAAAATAAATAAAAATCTCTACAAGTATAAGGATAAAAAATAATTTAAAATGTAATTATAAAAAACGAAAAAAATTAAAATTTAAAGTTATTTGCAAGTAGAAAGATAAAATAATAAATAAGAGTACAAAATAACATTGTAACAATATTAAATTTGTAAACGGTGAATCAATACTTGAAAATCGTGCTTAAAGCACGTCACAAAAGCATTTTATTGCTGCTACTTTTACAAACAGTAATTAAAAACAACAAATTTAAGAACATTTGTGAGCTTGGCTTCAATGGATAAATGAGTAGCGGCTTTGTTGTGTTTCAATCGCAAAACTGCATGTCACTCGCTACAGACTTGACGCAGGCATGCTATTTGCGCTACTCCTATTGCTGGTGGGACGTGCATGCGCACTAAAGTGCCAACTTTTGCATGCAAATGGGTGTACATGTACATATGTACATAGGTATGTATGTTGAGTAAATGCAAATATATGTGTGTTAGTGTGTGCATGTGTGTGAGTTAGGAACCGTTACGGTTGAAGTAGACGAAAAGTTCTTAGAACAAAATACGAAATCTACATACATAGGTGCTACTAATACATATATACACTTAGAATATACATAGTTAAGCTTAAATAAGAACTAATGGAGTTATTAATAATAATAAGTTGGTATAAAACAGAGCACAGAAAACAGTGATGCTACAATTACATATACAAATACATGTAGATTACTTATAATTACAAAAGAATTGCACGCACACACACATATACAAGCTTAAAATAGATGAGCAGAAGCAATATGCTTTTTCGTCTACTTTTTACAAAAAATTTTTCACTTTTTTTCTAGTTAAATATAAATTTGATAACTTATTTGTATGTATGTGTATTACTCATAGCCTAATATAGCTTAGTGTTGAATGTATGCATGTGTGTATGCGCATATAGCCACACTTGCGCTATGTACGCGAGTCTACGCGCATGCGCGCGTTCAATGCAACGGTGGCGGCGTTCGATTTGGCGACTTATGTGCCAGCAGACTCTTCGGCACGTGCTTGGACATGAAGCTGTGCTGGTTGCTTTGCTCCTGCAACTGTTGCAGCTGCAGCTGCAGTTCCAGTTGTTGTTGTGCCTGCTGTTTTTGCTGTTGGTGATGCTTGCGTCGACGCGCTTGTGCGCCACTGCGCACACCGCTGCCGCCGCCAATGTGTTGATGATGCTGCAGCAGCGCCATTTTAGTTGGATTCCTGCGCCACATACCCGCTGGGCATTTGGTGCGCTTGCGCCACTCCTCCGATACTTCGACGCCCAAGCGTCGGCATTCATGCGCGTACGCTGCGAAACTGTCACAATGACACATGCGATTGGGACACTCGCACACGTCCATCTTGCACGCGTCGAAATAGTTATTGGGATTTAGTCTATTATCACAGTTACCGAATACTTCAGATTCGCGCAGCCACCGACAGGCGGCATTCGCTTTGCGCTCCTTGCAATTGGGACGTGCCGATATTTTTTCCACACGTCGCGAACATGCCTTCGGACCGCCCTCTTTCCAGGAGTTGGCGAAACGCCATACTTCCTTGTCGGTGTGATTATTGCCATCACGGCTGCTGAGATCATCACGTCCGATGCCATTGTAATTGCCGCACAGGCCGCACAGCTTCTTTTTGTAGGACGTCGGTGCGGTTACCTGTAGGAAATTGTTGCCGTCCCATTCGAGTTTCAAACCCAAATCGGTTTGTAGCATTATATGTTCGCCCAGTCGTTCGATGTTGACAATTGGTGTGTCGGACGCTCCGGTATACGGCAAGATCACGAGACTACCGTTCACTTTGACGCGCATTTTTTGTCCTAAAGTTACGCGCATGCCGCGCATCTTCAGCGTAACTGTTTTCGCCCAAGACGAACGTTTCGTGCCACGTCCATCGTTCGTCAAACGTATAGAGAATGTCTTGTCGTGACAGTCGGCAGTCAGCAGATACTTGCATGAACCCTGAAAGCTGAAAAATTTGCCGTCGAACGTCTTGAAGTGTGGATCGCCGAAGACGGTGCATGTACCGGGAGTTTCTATGCAGCGCGGACAACACTCACCCGCCAATGTTTTCTTCTCTTCGTTTGAGTTACATTTCAACGGCGGACAGCGCATCTCCGAGCAACGTATTTGTCCGGCGATGCAGCGACATGAACGGCACGGTCCTAAATTCCACGTTTCGTTATTCATATAGGTCACACTTTTGTGTATGCATTCGTTACGCACTTCGGAAGTGATGCAACGCGGGCAGCAACCGTCCATTTCTTGATACTCGGGCGAGCACTCCAGTATGGGACAGGTGTTGCGCTGACAGATCGAGGTGCCGTTGCTGCAGGTACAGTTGGTGCAACGGTCGGGCATAAATTGCGTCTTGTCGTAGTAGACCTTGTTGTTGAAAATGCACTTGCCTGACGAAGAGTAGTTTGAGAGGAAAAATGAAAATTTTAAAATATATTTTTAACTCTTTCAGTCGAAACTTCGGCAACTCTTTCTTTCATTTAATTATGTACATATAAAAATTGATATATATTTTATAATATTCATAGCGCGTACGTACCAATTACCGGCATGAATTCCCGTTGTTCGGTACAGCGTGGGCAGCATTCGTTAGGATTCTGTGTTTGCTTTGATATGGGGCACTGGAGTATGGGACACGTCTTCTTTGCGCATGTCAGCTCGTTTTTTGAACATTGACACACCATACAACGATCGTCTATCGAGCCGACTACCTCTTGACCCTCGGCCACTACTTGTCCATTGATCTTGCAACCTGGAAGAGAAAGTAATAATAAAGTAAAATTTAAGTAGATAGGTGGCAAGATGACATAAATCTTCGGTTTAGTTTGTGACAAGAGTTTATTAAACCTTCTATTATTTTCCGACAACTGCAAGACTTCAAATGTTGTTCAGTCTGTTATCATGTATTATCAGTTCTAGCATGATCATATCCTAAGAATGATTGAAAAAATACTTTAGAACCTTAAATTGTTGATGAAGTTCACAAAAGTATTGGGTAAAAGCGAGGAAATATCTGTCTTAGGTCAAACCATATATTTTCAAGGACGAGTATAAGGAACACGAAAGCTTCAGAATCCCTTCAAAACTCTAATAGTTATGCAGAATGATGTTAAGCACAATCATCAGATCAATCAAAACCGGGAAGGATCTCTTTGAGCCGTTCGATACCAGATGATGTTTTAGACAGGGTGATTTCCTCTCGCTCGTCTTCTTCAATATAATGCTGGAAAAAGTGGAACGTGCCGCTAATCGGAACCACAGTGCCTCACTCTAAAAGTACAATGCTACTGGGGTACCCAGATAATATTGACATATATTTAAGCGCACAAAAATTTAACAAATGCGTTGGTTGAGCCATATAATTCGAATAGAAGATGATGCTCCAACGAAAAGCTTCTTCGAATCGATACCCATAGTTGGACAACGGAAGCATAGCGACCTGTCTGTACGGGATATACAACTGGCGTGACCTCGCAAAGGATAAAGGCAACTGTCGATGTTTTGCATTCTCAGCCTAGACCGACCCACGGTTGTAGTGCCAAAGAAGAAGAAGGTAGTTGCTGAAGATTTCGTTAGAAGCAGGTTCCCACACTTCACATGAATATGCATAAAGTATCTTTCCACCTTAATTAAGTACTCCCGATATGAACGCCAGTGTAATCAGGAATTGTAGAGGCTTTAAAGTAGTGGACTAAATCATGGATCCATGGAAACTTGCTTCTATTCAATCTATGAGTCTGTTATGTGTGATGAATAGGGAAATTTTTTATTCAAAAGAATACACATAGGTTTAAAGTCACTCAGGAAATTCAGCAAGGACTTTCTTATTTCAGTCCTTCAAAATAGAGCATGTCATTTTGGTAAGAGATTTAGATCAGAGAGGGGGACTTATATTGTAAAGCCTCATACTTTGTTCCCAAAGGATTTAAAAGAAGCGAAAAAAGGGATCTAAACAAATCTATGAAGTTTGAAGATTGCATAACAAAGTAAAAATTTGTCTTAAAAAAATAAGCTGGTCAATCTATAGTTCTCTAACCTATCGAACAAACCGCGTATAGAAACTGTTTTCTTCTCATTGCCACCTCGAAAATGTCTTACCTCGGTCAACCAGATGTTTCGGCAGAGCAAATAAACCACAACTACTAATGTGTGTGTGTGTGTATTTTTACGATTATAATTTGTTTTTGTACACAACAATAACAACTCATTTGATTAGTTAGTGATGCTGTGCTTCTGTCATAAACAATAATTTCGATCAAGTTTTATTGTGGCTTAAATGATTTAATGACATTATTGTCATTGGCAAATCATAAAATAAAGTAGAAAAACTAATAAAAACAACAACAGCAACAACAGTGTGGTATTATGCGTCAACAACACTCCCTGCTTTTATAGAACTTGGCTATAAAGTCGTGTGGCCGTTGTGGTTTTTTGGTACTGTGATTGTTGTTGTATTATGTCGCAAGTATGACAAGAGATTAGTGAGAAATCAACTTAAGTGACTGCGCTAAATATGCCATCAAATCGTGTGTGATGCTTACTATTTTTGGATATTGACCCAATGTTTTGGAATGATGTCGAAACCTCTGCGGTAAATACGAGAGGGCGGATGTGTGAAGGAACTTTGTTGTTTTTTATTTACTGTTTTTACTTGTGCGCTGCTGCTTTGATTTCTATACAATAAGAACTATATGAAATCATTATTATTATAATTTTTATGCTTTGTTGTTTTTTCCTTTTCTCTTGATTTTTGTATTATTTTTTTTTTAGTTGTGATTCTGTCATACTTTTGCAGATTATGCGAATCATGTACGATTGTTTTTGTTGTTTTCAGTTATTAGTTTTAGCATCGCTATATTTCTTATTGTTAATTTCATAGTTTCGTGTATACCGAAAGCATAAAAAAATTTAGGATTTGTTACGGGATTAAAATTATTTTTGAGAACTAAATAATGAAATCATTATATTTTTAAAATTTTTGTGCAATCGCGAAGTTCAAAGGTAAACCCAAATTTTTTTTTAGATTTCGGGATTTATAACGGGATTAAAATTATATTTTGGGAAAAGTAAAGAATATTTCTGATCTTAACATTTTTGTGTATTCCCGAAGAGTAGAAATAATTCCGAAATATTTCTTAAATTTCGGGATTTACTACGGATTCAAATTATTTCTTAGAAATTTAATAAAAAAATTTATGATTTAAAAATTTTTGTGCAATCCCGAAATATTATTTAGACTTCGGAATTTATAAAAGGACTAAGTTTTTTTTAACAACTTTTTTTTAAATTAAATCAATAAATAGTAATGTCCCAGTTCTTTAGTAGTTTTTAGACGACAAATACTTACAGGGTACTTCAAAAACTTTGTTTTTTATAACCTAGACTTTTCTGGGATTCACATATTTTTTTGGAAATTTAGTAAAAAAAAAAATATGATTTAAAAATTTTTGTGTTATCCCGAAATACTATTTAGATCTCGGGAAATAGTAATGTCACAGTGAAACAGTGGATCTCATGATATTTTTTCGGGATTGATGTTTCATACGTGTTCTTCAGTAGTTTTTAGACGAAAAACACTTAGGAGTACTCCGAAAACTGCTTTCAACGAATCATTTGAATTCTTGTATAACCTTGAACTTTTGGTATTTGCGCACTTTGACTTTCTTTAGAACTTTTTTGAAGACAAAAAACTTAACTACAAGAACAAACAAAAAATATTTTCTCTGAAATTAAATACGGGGTGCTATACTTATTTTTTCTAAAAATTACTTTTTAATGCTACAAAATGTTAGCAGTTTTAGTTTGAATTATTTAAAATTTCAGCATGCTTTTTGGGTTTAAAGATTCACTTATAGTATGATGAATCTTAAAATAGAGTAAGAAACAACCGAGATGTTGAAGCTGGTCGGCAAAGTGCGAGTCTGCAATAAGCGCTCTATTGTTTTTTGTTGTAACTAGTAAAAGCTAAATTTCAAATAGTGTTGAGGAATTTCTCTGAGTAAATAATTTTTCGTCTAATATAGGTAAATAAGGGTTGTGCTCGTTTACGTGTTTGTCTTAAGTTATGAGGACACTATTCCGGAGTGGCCGCATTAAGTACACTCTGTTTTCTTAACATATCTTCTAACGATATATAACTACTAGTCAAGTTCTAGTCCTTAGGCTGATAAGGTCTAAATTGATCTGGGACTCAGTGTGAAGAATTGAGCAAGAACTTTCAGCAAAATTGTCTATACGTTTTGCCTAGCATGTGAAAGCTCTTCTAATTGTCTACAAACTACCCATAGATATTGAAAACTTCTTCTTTCTTTCTTTAATATACGTGTTCTGACTTAGTAAGTTGAAAACGAGACGATTTCTGATCTTTTTAGAAAGTAATGAGTCGGAACTCTGGCATCCTAACTAAATACAGGTTTTATGATTATGAGTTAAAAGTAATTCGAAGAATGTTTTCACTGTAGTATAGATGCCGGATTAACATCCTTAGTAGTTTCTTGTTGTTATAAGAACTTACCTTGACATGTCGGACAGCATTCACCGGGTTTTGGCGGTATAACGTGTTCATCATCGCATTGATTGAAGCATTTCATTGTCGTTTCGGTGACAACACTGGCCACACATTTGTAGGTTTTACAAGGATCTTCGGGATCAGCCCACTCAGAGCCACTTGGGTAAGGTATACCACGATATATGCAACCTGAAAAAACAGAGCGTAAGAGAAAATAAACTTTTTCTTATATACATTTATTTGTAATCAGTCTGTGGTTGTACTTTATAACATATATATAATTCATCATTATTAATGAAAAACATTTTATAATGCATCATGATGAATGGTCTCACATTACACGAGAGGGGATGGTATAAAATTACTTCTATGATGTAATTAGCTATAGATATATTTATATCTCTATTCTTGCAATTTAATCTTCCTGAAAAAAAAATATTCATTGGATTTCATGGAACCTTATAACTAATCTTAAAATTATTCATTCTCACTCACCTTTGCACCTTTTACAGCATGTGTCACGCGGTTTGGGATCCAATAAATAGCAATCATCAATAGGGGGACAGCTTCCTTTTTCACAATTTACAAATCCATTCTGTAAAGAATTTGTACCAAAGGAGAAAATAAGTTAAAAAATATAGAAAATACAATAATTGTACAATATAATATACATAATTATTAATAGTACAAGTATATAGGAAACTATACGTAGACTCAAATTGCAAAACTACCCCACTAAATAATGTTAGGGAGATAGATAAATATATATTTATAATTGTAAAGCGTGAGGGCTTTACAGGGGGTTTAACTTTACAACTATAAATATATATTTATAGTTGTTCTTCAACAAAATCTAAGGACAGCTAAAGTTAAACCCCCTGTAAAGCCCTCACGCTAACCTACGTAAACCACTCTCTATGCTTTCATAAGCTAGCGAAGTGACAACCAATTTATCCTCAAAAAATATTCGATTTAAAGCAAGTCTTGAGACTCTGATGGTGTTAGAATCATGTGAGATGTCTTGAAAACAATATATCTTAATAAAAACGTATTCCTATTTTTTTTTTATCACATTTTGGATCGTAATACACCACAAGTGCTAAATAAGGCTAAGTGGAGAGCGATTCAGCTTCGCTTGATGTGTTGAACTGCACAGACTATCTTATTTTACTCCAGCTTCAATTTCATTGCTCAATCAGTTGAACAAGGTATATTAAGTTCACAACGAGGTTTGTAACACCTAGAAGGAAGTGTCAGAGACACTATAAAGTATATATCTAACAATCAGCGTGACGAGCTTAGTCGACTTAGCCATGTCCGTCTGTCTGTATATACGCGAACAAGTCCCGGTTTTTTCTCCCGAAGAAGCTGCTCAATTGTCGGAATCGCCGATTTTGGATCACTATAGCATATAGTTGCCATACAAACTGAACGATCAAAATCAAGATCTTGTATGGAACGTTTTTTATTTATGTGGGGTATTATAGCTTTGGTGCAACCGAAGTTAATGTGTTTTCTTACTTTTTATTGAACTCAAAGTATATATGGTATTGTCCGACGTCAACAACCACTCCTTTCCAACTAGTTCTGTTTTATTTCCTACTGGGTTAATGTGCGCCGTTTGTTTTTATGCCTGTTTGTAAAACTGTCTCTCATATAACTGGCGCTTAAGAAATATGCAAATCTTTTTTGGCGTCTCTTTGCATTCAATTAAGTTTATCTTAGCATTTCCATACATACAAGCAGCGCATTTGTAGCGTATAACTTTAATTAAGAGATTTATCTTTTTAATTAAGAGATATTTTAAAGCTCTTATGGAAATATGTATGCCAAACAGGCAAAATGTTTGTGTGATTGCAATCATTGGGTGACAAAGTTTAACAACAGAGCGGATTGCAAGTGGAAAAGTTAAAAAATAAAAGTTGATAAAACGGCTAATACGCTACAGAGGGTTTTAGCCAGAACTTTTTATTTGACACAAATAAATAAATAAATATATACAATGTAATCGGATTAATTAGTTTCTTGCTATGCATGAAAGCTTTAAGACATGGCAAGAAGTGGAGACTAAGAAACAAGTCTTGACTGGCTGAGACACAGTCAACAAGAGTGTTGAGGAAATATGGAGATTACAACTGCAGCAAGTTAAGGGAGTTCTTCAACATCGTTACTCCTTCAAAAATATAACCATGGTACGATAATACTATCACCTTTACATACATATGTATATTTACATAATGTGGATACCTATTGGTGGCAAGTAAAGTCTCTACAGATATTTCGCGTACAGTTTAATTCGCCCATAAAATTGTATCGAGCTTCGGATTTGTAAATATAATTGACACTTTCACCTCTCCTTCTAATTGTGGTGACTTTTTATGCGACCATTAAATGATTTTATAAGTTTTAAGTCGCCGCCAACGACTGATGGTTTTTATGAGAAGCATTTTTATAACAAAAATATTTTTGATAAGCGACCTCTGTCGGAAAATATGTTTTATGTTGGTCGATTTGAAAAGAGTGTGAAATTCTTTTGTCCTCGTTGATAGCGTTACACTTCAGAAGTAATTAAAAGTTGTGCTGCGGAAGTTTTTAGTTAAACCTCAAATTCGAATTTACCGAGCTCGTACTAGGGTTAATAAATCGATATATTAAAATCAAATAATTTTTTTTATTTAAGAATATGAACCGCTTATTGGTGGTTTTAGAAATGATTTAAAACCAAAATATTATTTCTAGTACTAAGTAAATTGGTTAGCCAATATATATAATGCTGATGAGAATGATGGGATTCAACAGCTAATTAAAACCGACGTGGAACGTTTTATACAACACAAAAATCGACCTTATCTGGCAATAATTATCTTTTTCTTCAACCACCGCAGTGTACGCGTAGTTCGCCATGAATTTACTCTATAAAGATGCCTCGACAACTGCGTGCGGATTGGTGGTCATATAATTTGTGGACTTTTCACAAAGGTAATACACGGTCACACTTTAACTGTGTCTTCTTCTTTTTAAGAAGACACGCTCACTATAAAATTAAAAAACTTACGAATAGTTTTGGGTTTTTAGTACTTATAAATGCCTTTCAGAGGTATAAGAGTTCAGCCCCCGGTTTCAAATAGCGCAAGTTGCGCCATTTTGACGCACTATCGTAGGACCGTATAATCTTGCGATCAATGAATAATGCTCTCTATGAAACTGATATTCGGTATGCTTTTGTAGACAGCATTTTAAGGTTTGATGGATTCCAAAGGTTCTATGTCGAGTTTGTGCTATAGCTGGGCATTCCCAGAGAAAGTGGAAAACTGCTTCATTATTTCCTTCTAGTTTGCAGCTGCGGCAAAAAATTTATTTTTATAATTTTTAGTGCGTGTTCTCCAAATAGCCAATGTTCCGTTATAGTAGCTGTAAGTAGACTCGGCTAGAGAGTGTCCTGACTCAGCCAACTCGTCTGTTTTTTCGTTGTCAAAAATGTTCCTGCGACCGGGAATCCATATTATCGAGAAGTGGACTATCAGTTATCTGTGTGTATGGTTGCTTTCTGTATCCTCCCATAGCTATTCAATATAGCTCCATAAATCTTCTCTTTGTCTAGTGCTTCCGCTTGGGAAATGCTTGCTGAGTATGGTAGACGGATAAAGACAGATGTCAATGATCCGAAGAGGTTGAGATATTGTCCTCCACCGCTATTAACTCCCTTCTCCATTCACGCCTAGAGTGTATTCTCACCCGGAAGTAACTATTGAAATTCAGCTATGGGTTGGTATAAGCCGATTTATTCAAATGGGCTATAAACTGGTTCAGCAAATTGCTATGCCCATAACTATTTCGTTTTAAACCCCATAACTCTGCGGCTTTGGAATTTGCAAAGTTATCATTGATCACTGATCGCAAGGTGTCTAATTTATGTATAGATTGGAGAAATAGAGAGAGACTTAAGCTAAACATATATAGTTCTACTTTTTATAAATTGTTTTAAAATGAATTGTGAACAAGGCAATACAGCCCTAATTATCGTAGGCAACTAAAACGATTTTTATATCAGTATACCCATAAAGAAACGTAGTAGACGCCTTAAAGTATAGGTATACGTATATACCTAAATGATCAGCGTGACGAGCTGAGTAAGCTGATTCAGCCATGTCCGTCTGTTCGTCCGCCTCTCTGTCTGTATATACATGAACTAGTCCCTCAATCTTTTAGATATCGATTTGAAACTTTTTACACGCTCTTTTGTCCTCAACAAGTTGCACATATGTCGGAATCTTCGAAATCGGAAAACTATAGGGTATTGCTGCTATACGAACTGACCGATTATTTGTGGAGATATCTTTACAAAATTTGGCATGGATTATTGTCCTACTCAACACAATGATTTCCAAACAAATAAAATTATTTTGACATTCCCATGTAACAGTGCGAACATGCGCGAAATCAGCCATTAATCACGCCTACTAAGTGAGTCTATGACCTTCAAAATAAGTTAATACGATATCAAATTTGATTGCACTCCATTTCTAAACATAAAGTTTTGTAAATACCTGAAGGTATTTCCCTGACTTTGATCCCTGCAAGTTGCTAGACAATGAAATGTTCGGTTACACCCGAACTTAGCCGTTTCTAACTTGTTTACTTGACAAGTTACCTTCACGTGATTTGGCATGGATTTTTATCCAAGGCAACGCTACAAGCCTCGAAAAATTTTTCTATTTCGGACAATTATAGCATATAACAGCCATACAAACTGAACGATCGAAATCAATTTCTTATATGAACATTTTTTTATTTGTGAGTTTCGACGCAACATTTTTTCTTGTTTTTTTATTTAATATTATTTTTATTACTATTATTATTGTCGTTATTGTTGTTGTGGTTATTATTATTATTATTTATATCCCTGTTTATGTGTTCAACAAAAGAAATCAGTTCCATAAATTTTCATAAAAATTTTTAATAAATAGTATGTCGTTGTTTTTATTAGTTTCTGTAACCTGACCCGATGATTTAAGAAATACACACATGCCTATGTATAAGCAGACAAATAGAACAGGTAATGCCAATTCGCTACGCTTTCACGCATATAAATGTGCGGATTAAATTTACTTATAGGCATATAAATAGACATACGCACGCATACATACATGTATATGAAACTCAATACACATATATATGCACCTATATGTATGTATATGTATTTACATATAAATTAAAAAATTTCGATTTAAAATTTGAGATTAAGAATTAGTTAATTTCTTCTTCCCCCGCTGTGGCGGCAAGCTGGCGCTGCTTCTTCCTCTTTTGCTATGTTTGGTTAGAAAGCTCAAAGCAACGATTAATATGCAATGTATTTATTTAAATAACGCTTTATGACTTTATGATTAGGTATGTGTATGCAACTGCTTATTAAGCATTGAAGCCACAGCATTTTGTGTTGAATTGGCGAGATGAAGCCATCATTTTAATTTTACGAGCGTATGCCGAAATGCAGGAAAATGTGTTTGTATGTGTGTGTAGATAAATGGAGATGGAGCTAGAGGTTTGACCATTTGATTATTTGAATATTTAAACTAATATGTTTATATACGAAAT